CCCCCCCCCCCCCCCCCCAAACTTAGAAGTAAGACGGTTTTTGTGAAAGTGTCTAACATGAAAGAGGTCCTTTGGGTTTTTTTCACATTGGCAAAAATATAATTTCAGGCTTAAACACTTTTTAAACATTCACATGTAACTGCATATCGGGAGACCGAAATGGTGTCATTGCTAAATGAGGTTACTGCCCTTTCCGTCATTTACATCCTTGCGAATTTTTTTCGCGAGGTCAATGTTGATTTGATCGATAAGTGGAAGGCGGCGATTTCAGCGAAGCGTTTTTGAATCATTTTGTAAATGTATTCTTATGACATTAAGCGGCGATCGAGATCTTTGGACACGGAGGGGATAATGCGGACAGTTGTTTGTTTTTCTTAAACGTACGTTAATTTCTGTCCACCTCACTATTGTATTTATTTCACCATTTTTAATCAATAGACTTACTGGGTTTGTTAGAGTGTCTCACATCGGCTGAGGTTTTTTATTCTCTCGGGTTTTCGTGCATGTTTACCTCGAGAGGAAGATTATTCCCTTTTAAAAATATATATTTTAATGCCACTGTTACGTGACGATCTATATTTGATGTAACCATTTGAGTCTTGAACAAAGACTAGTTGAATATTCAAATAGATTTGCATCTTCAGAAATTAAACAAATGTAGCATTTTCTGCACGTTAACGTTTTCTGTTAATACCATCTTTAGTCCAAAGCTTATTAAATGGTCATAACTGTTCCAGTAAAGTGTCCGCAAGGAAGGGAAGTTAGTTGGAAGATCTTGACCTAAGGTTTTCAATTTAAGGGACAAGCTGTTTCAAAATAGCCAAGCTAAAGAATGACGAACAGTTTTACATAACAATACAAATACAATACAGTGAATGTTAATCAGTGTTCAGTGACTCTTCTTACCATACCTTTTTTAAAGTTAGCTGTGAAGAATACCACAAAAATTACTTTGTAAATAGCATGGAATAAACGGTTTTCTAAACATTTTTTAAGAAACTTCTTTAGGATTGCATACTGTTTATTCCCTCAGTCAGTCATCTGCACAGAGCTTTTTTTGATGTAATGGAACTACCTTACATAGGCAATTAGTTAGAATAGGTATGCATAAGTGTAATTGACCAGATTGCTTTAGAATGGACCTGTTGTTTCTTTAATTAAAAATGAAGTTTTGTAATTTTGTAAACTGATTTCTTAGGAAAACCAAACTTGTATGAATGGGAAATACTTGCAGTGAATAATGCAAGTGTCTTCAGAAATAATGACACTGCAGGAGTTTTTTAATCACTGATTTTTTAATGCTGTTTTTAAGTTTCATTTAGGTTTATTTTCACTTTATTGAGACTGAATTATTTATTTAAGTGGGCATCTGGGAGTGGGTGAAATGCTGTAATTTTATTTCTGGGTTTGCTTGTTAAATGTGAACCACAAATACTATTTGCTTTTCAACTGCAAAATAACTCCTAGTGTTGTTCAATAGTAAATACAGATAATTTATCTGTATTTAATGTAGCTTAAGCTTTACTTAATATATTTTGACCAGTAAGGTTGTGGTTTAATCTTGATTATCTAACAAACCCCTCAGCTGATTTTAAGATTAAAATCATTTTGTTATACAGATATAAATATTTAAAGTGGTCATGAATTATGGAAACAATTTCAAAGTAATAGGAATCTGCACTGTATATAACCATAAAGTTTTTGCATTATTTAATCTTTGCATTCTACTCCCTACTTCAATATAATGTTCAGTTGTTCAACTTTGAACATTAACTGGCTGGATAGAATGTCAGCATGTTATTTGAAAACTCATCTAAGACAGGAGAGCCCATGTGGAACAACATCAGTCTATATGTGGGTAGAAATGATTAAATACCCCGTAGGATACAAAATATTACCAAGGTAGGGAGATCTCTGTACCATCTAGAATTTCTTTGAGGTGACATGGCAGAAGTGATACATCTACCAACAACAGTTTATTTGAATCTTTTGAGAACTCAATTTTTATCCCTTGCACTTGTACTGAAACACTGTTTTCATATTTCTGCCAATTTCCAAAGAAATTGTGCAACTTTTTTTTAGAAGTCTACTTTTCAACCTTTGCATCTCCATATAAAATGTTTATATTTTTATCTTGGTGTAGTCTTGACTTCACCATTAGTTGGAAGGAACCTTTTTTTAAGTATGGAGTTCAAATTTATTTTCAATTACCCTTTGAGTTAAACTGGTAGAGTCCAGCCTCCGTGCAAACCTAAATGAAAATAACTCCACCCCCTCTTGCAACCTGCTGATGGGTTTCATGTCCATTCTATGAAAATATTGAATGCAATCCATGTTTGAACAATACTATGGCTATAGGCAGTGAGAGGTGGAAGAAAAGGTTTGTGTTCATGGAATGCAGATGTGTCTCCATTATGTCACTTAATTGATTATCTGCTGTAAAATTTGTGCAGCGTTTCGTGGCACCTCGCTGAGGTAGCATGCTGGAGATCAAACCTTGCTATTCTTGGGAGTCATTACAAAAACTAAGATTTCATAAAAGTACACAATTCCCCAATTTACCTGTTCTTTAGACCCAGGTTGACAGGATGCACTGATCAGGTTTGTGTATTTAACAAAAATTAGTACCTATTACAAATAACTAGATTCTAGCTATAAGTAAACAATTATGAACTGTCAACCTCCAGTTTTCTATACGCATACAAACAGACACCGAACAAAATACTGGTGTTTTGGGTGGAGAGCAAGAACAGGAAGACAGTTAAATGGTCCATGTCCACAGGGTTTGCTGGCTTGTCAGGACCTACTGTTCCTGGTCTTCCTTCACCAGGTTCCCTCACTTGCATACAGGTGGCACAGGATGACTAGCTCACACTGTAAGTCTCAGACTTCTTGATTAATAGCCACAGCTTACAGCAACTGATGAGGGAAATTTAACTGGCTTTCTTCAGGTTTGAGGTGTTAATGAGTGACCACGAATGTCGGGGATTTGCTTTTAAAATGTGCAGTTATGCTTTCCATAATCCTTGGTTTTTAAAATAGTTCTCTTCCCATTCCAGTCCACAGTCAAAAATACAGAAAAATAAAAAGATACAGACTTCACAATTTATTAATTTTTGCACCAAAAGTTGCTCTTTTATTTGTTTAAGGATATAGATTTCAGTGGGTGGGCTAGGATTTCTGACTGTTGCCCTCTGAAAGGTGATGGCAACCCTGCCACCTTGAATCATGACAGTCCATTTGATGTAGGAACCCTTCCAGTGTAGCTTGAGAAGGAATCCTAGGATTTTTGACACTGCCTGAGAAGGATCCATTACATAGTTTTAAATCTGGATAGTGAAAGGCTTGGAGAGGAACTTGGAGGTGGTTGGTGTTCCCATGTATCTGCTGTTCTTGTCCTCCTAAATGGTTGTTGATTTGGAAGGTGGTGTCAAAGGAGCCTTGGTGATTTTCTAGAGTCCATCTTGGAGATGGTACACACTCGTGCTATTGAGTGTCAGAGGTGGAGGGAGTGAATGGCGCCATATGCACAAATAATCAAATGGGCTGCTTTGTCCTGGATGGTTTTGAACATCTTGAGTCGTCGGAGCTGCAGTCATTCAGGCAAGTGGGAAATATTCTGACATTCTTCACTTGTTGATGTTGGCTAGGCTTTGGGGGAGTCATGAAGTGAGTTACATGCTGCAGGATTCCTAGCTTCTGATCTGCTGTTGTAACCACTATACAGCTAGTTCATTACAGTTTCTGCTAATTGGTAACGCCTAGGATATTGATGTTAGGAAATTCAGCGACGATAATGCCATTGAATGTCAAGGG